ATCTTAGAAGAAATTAAGACCTAAAAACAATAAAACATTGTCCACAGGACCTAATTTAATAAAACTGGGAGTCAGAAACGCCAACAGAGTGTGGACTGCCCAAGCTCTTGATGCTCTTATCATCAGAAGAGATTCAGAGCAACATCTGCAGATCGAGCCTTGCCCAGATCTGAATTTCAGACCACACAGGCTGGAGTGGGGGAGGGGACGGTGGTCAGCACTCCTGACCAGAGTTTACAATTTATAGCCATTGCGCCCTTCTGAGACGGATTCTTCGGACTCTTCAAGACCTCCTCAAGGTTTGTGCCACGCCTCCACCTGAAGAGGTGTCTGCTACGCAGGTGAGAGGCTTGCATCAGGCAGACTTACAGAATTTTCTGCCTCCTGAAAGGGTTTTAATTCTCAGGCTAGCTTTTCCCTTCCACGGCTTGTGAGTCATTTCTCTGTCGTTAGGCAGGGTGCCCAGCACCTAATGGCTCCCAATTCCTCTTCCTTTTCAGGAAGTACACATCTCGTCTGGGGCATATCCGTCAACTGGCTGAGCTTTTCCCAGAAGAGTTGGATTAGGAGCTGGATGGAGCAGAGCCTCCCTGTAAAACCCCAGGCCTCAGAATGGACATATGAGCAGCTGTAGCTCAGCTGACAGAGTGTTTTCCTAGCCTAGAGTTTACCAAGTCCTTGATTTGAGCCTCAGCTTCTACAAAGCAGGACAAGCAGCACATACCTGCAGTCCCGGCACAGGAGAAGCCAACAGGGAGGAAAGAACAGTAAGACCATGGCCCGGCCAGGTGGTTTAATTGTGAAGGGCACCTGACAACCGGAACTGGATCTCAGAACCTGTGTGTTGGAAAGAGAATCCCCTCCCTCAAATTGTCCTTGGGGCAACCAGCCTTTAGAGGCAGAGGCAGGCACATTTCCATGAGTTCAAGACCAGCCCTGTTCTACAGAGTAAGTTCTAGGACTGCCAGGGCTACACAGAGAAACTCTGTCTTGAAACCACAAACAACAAACAAACAAAAGCAAAAACAAAACAAAAGTTAAAACATTGTCTTCACCAAGTCCTGCAGCTGCTTCTAAGAGTCTCTGTCTAGGAGGGAACTCAGCAAAAAGCAGAGCCAGGACCTGAAATGGTCTGACTACAACCTTCATGCTGGACAAGAGAAACCAAATAATAGCTGGAGTCTAACACTTCCGTAAATAACGGAGAGTTTTCACTTGGGCGCGGACGGGGATGGCGGCACACACCTACAATCCCAACACTTGGGAAGTGGAGCAAAGGGATCAAGACCTATCTCATTGTGAATTCATAGCACAGTGGGTTCAGGGCCATCGGCTGATATAAGACCTTGTCTCAAAACAAAACAAAACAAAACAAAAAAACCCTCCAACCAACCCGAATTTTTGTATGCATTTAATTGCAAGAAATGAAACAGCTAGAATTCACTTAAGCAAGATGGAACTAGAAACAGCCATATTGTTGTTTTGTGGTGCAGAATTTGAGCAAGAAGTGAATTACCACATTTCAGAAGGCACAGAGGTTAGAAAAACTCTTGACTAGTCTGGCCCAGCTTGGTGACTTGGTCACCTGCTAGGATGAGGACAGCGCCTAAGCTGACAGGCATTGCTGCTGATCAGTGTGTGGGGTGGGGGTTGCTTCCAGAAAATAAGAGCCCATTGGAAGGGTGCAGTGGCTTCCAGGGTCGTCTGAGGTACCGTGGATCTCCTAAAAAGAATCAGAAGCTAGAGAATTGGCTCTGTTTGAAAAGCGCTTCCCATGGAATTGTGAAGACCAGAGTTCAAATCCTCAGAATCTGTGCAAAGGCAGACACAATGCAGCAGGGTCCTGTGCTGAGACAGGAGGAAGAGACAGATGGATTCCCCAGAGGCTTCTGCACTGGTCAGCCTGGCATACATGGCAGAGAACAACAAGAGAAAATATAGATATATTTGGTGTTTTTATACAGGGTCATTGTCATGGTTTAGATAAAATGTTGCAGGTCCCCGAGTGGCAGCAGTGGGCAATGGGTCCTGAGACGGGCCATGAAGGCAGCCGGATCCATGAGGGCCAGCCGCTTGGCAGGTGAGAGACAGAGATGGATAGGCACACCATGCAGAGGGAGGTTGGATATTTATTTAGTGGGCTATGGAAGGGAAGGGGAAAGGGGAGAAGGGAGAAGAGCAGAGAAAGAGGCAGAAAGAGAGAGAGAGAGAGAGAGAGAGAGAGAGAGAGAGAGAGAGAGAGGTTCATTATCATCATGGTCTCTCTCTTAGAAGGAAACTGTCACCCATAATCCCACTCATGCAATTCTGCAGCATTGGACTCTACGGCATGGGACGCTATGGCACGGGACTCTACAGCACGGGACTCTATGGCATGGGACTCTACAACTTGGGACTCTACAGCATGCCCAGGTCTTTACTGTGGTTGTTGCCATAAATATTTTAGACTGCTCAGTCTCCATAACTATGGTGTTTGGTAGCAACACATGAAGGCTGTGCTTTATATAAAAGGAACAGACTTGGCATCAGAAGTGAAGCTGATATTTTTGTGAGAAACACTGACGTATGAAAATCCATAAACCTGAAGCCATTAGCAAATTTCCAGTGAGTGGAAGTTTTTGCCCACTGTTTGTCGATAGGTGATTTCTGAGCCCCAAATGCCACCTGGCCGTGTTCTCCCTGCCTGCCTGCCTGTGGGATGGCAGCTCTGTCACTGGCAGGTGGGGTGTGCAGAGCACAGAAGGTACAGAGGACCAACAGGAAGGAGCTGGAGGCGATGCCTACAGCCTAGATGACTGATCAGTGGCTCTCAACCAGAGGCAGGTCCACCCACCTACCGAGCGGACATTTGGCAATGTCTGGAAATAGTAGTGTTTGCCACAGCTTGGGGTAGGGACGGGGTGTTGATGGCACCTAGCGAATATAGGCCAAGTAAACTGCTAAGCATCCTGGGACACACATGGAAGCATCTACAAAACACGCTTTCTCTGATGGTTTTTTTTTTTGAAGTAGTCAGTGACTGTTCTTAGTTAACTGGGAAGCACTTGAGTTTCTGATGTTCTTGGTTGGTTATTGTGATGGAAGAGTGGGGGCCAAGCTGAGGTAAAGGTTCCTGGGTATTTCCACAAAATTATCGTTCATTGATACTGATGCAACTGGAGTCCCTCTTGCAGTATGAGCATCTGTGCCATCCTGAGTCAGACAGCTGATCATCAGAGCAGCCCCCACCCCACCCCAGCGAGTCTATGATCATGTCACTGGCTACCGTTGGTTCTGGTGTGTGAGAGAACCACACACCAGCTGAGCAGAGAAAGCTAGACTGGTGCCAAGGAGGCTGCAAATGAGCCCTCCAACAGGCAGGGCTCGGGACCCAGGGGTTCGGCCTTGGAAGAAGAAAGAAGAGAAAGGGTGCCTGCTGCCGGCAGCATAGGAACTGTTCCTGTCACTGGGAATGCGTCTCCTTAACCCCTGGAAAGCTAACTGCAAAGCAAAGTGTCTTTCACCCTGAGCAGAGAAACCCCTTCTCTCACCCACCTCAGCTGTCTGGAGACCTCATGCCTTTTTTATGAAATCCCGGGTACTTTGAGTTCTCTGAGAGTAGGGTGCCCTCGGCTGTCAGAAGAGGGGGTTGGATCCCCTGGAAGTAGAGTTACAGAAGGTTGTGAGCCACCCTGAGGGTGCTGGGGATTAACCCAAGTCCTCTGCGAGAGCAACAAGGGCTCTTAACAGCTGAACCATCGCTCTAAGTCCTGAACTTCGAAGGCCACGTGTGTTGTTTTGAATTAGAACAGCTCTCAGAGCTCATATATTCAAACGCGTGGTCACCAGGAAGTGGTGCCATTAGGAGGTGTGGCCTTGTTGGAGGAAATGTGTCACTGGCGGTGGGCTTTTAGGTTTCTTAGGCCCAAGCTGGGCCCCATAGCTCTTTCTCTTCCTGCTGCCTGCTGATCCAGATGTGGAATTCTCAGCTCCTTCTCCAGCACCATGTCTGCCCGCATACCACCATGCTCCTGCCGTGACGGTAATGGACTAGAACCTCTGAAACTGTAAGCTAGCTTTCCCAATTAAACGTTTTCCTCATAAGAGTCTTGGTGTCTCTTCATAGCAGTAGAACAAAGGTTAACACTTGAATTAAAAATCCTCCATGTTTTTTCCATCCCCATGTCCTTCCAACTTCTTAATAGAAAAATAAAACCAAACCCCACAGTGTGTGAAGAACGCTGGTCGGTGCCACAGTAGCTGGTCTTGTCAAGGTTGAGCTGTTAATAGGAATAGCCAACCTCTGAACACTGAATTGAACAGAGATCTCATTAGATTATAGGACCTCAATACCATCATGCTCCATTCCTAAAACCATAAAGTACGCAATTTGCCATTCAATAAAAATAACATTTATGGCAGCCAAAGTGGTCCCACAGGTAAAGGCTCTTGTTGCCAACCAAGTCCACTGACTTGAGTTCAATACCCAGAACCCACGTAAGAGAAGGGAAAAACTTCCTGCAAGTTGTCCTCTGACCTCCCCACACGAGCCACGATGCTTCCACACCCATACACAGACACATGCACACACACAAATAACTAAACGTAGTAATATTTTTTTTTAACAATAGCACTAATGTGATATGTAGTCCTTTAATTCCATGTGTTTCCTTTGTGTTGGTTGTCTTGGCCCTCATATCTCTATGGTATCCTCACCTACAGAGTGGAAACAGGGCTCAAGGGGCTAAGAGATATGCCAAAGGCCACGTGATGAATGCGTGTTAAACACGGTGAATGCTAAATTGAGTCCTTGAACCCAAGTCCTCTGGTTTCAAGCTCCTTTTCGTCCACAGAATCCCCCTGCCTCTTCTGTGAGAGCAGAACAATGAACTTCACTTGGACCCGTGATGCCATTCCTAAAGGATCTCCAGCCTCTTGTCTTAGGGTTTCTGTTGCTGCGAAGAGATGCTATGACCATGGCAACTCTTATAAAGGAAAACATTTAATTGAAACTGACTTACAGTTCAGAGATTTAGTCCATTATCGTCACACACAGGAGCATGGTGGCATGCAGGCAGACACGGTGCTGGAGAAGGAGCTGAGAGTTCTACATCTTGATCTGCAGGCAGCAGGAAGAGAGAGTGAGCCCCTGAGCCTGGTTTGCACTTCTAAAACCTCAAAGCCACCCCAAGTGACACACTTCCTCCAACATAGCCACACCTGCTAATAGTACCCCTCCCTATGAGACTACGGGGGGGGGCTTTTATATTCAAAGTACCACACCTCTTAAACCCCCTTTTCAGCTGGAAAAAAGCCCCTGAATCCGTGTTGTGAGCCAGCGCCATGTTCTGGATAAGGACACCAGCACGTGGGCCTTTGCCCGGAGCCAGGTCTTCGGTTCCCATCAGCAGCATCCTCTACCCACCCCACTATTCATTCCACCATTTTTTTTTTGGCCCTACAGCCCCAGTGGGCACTAAAGCCCCGTCTCTTGCCTTATGGGACGCTGGCTGAGAAGATTGGTGACACCATCTGGCCCACAGACTTGGCCAGAAGCTTTCAAGAGGGATAAACTGGGCCCTTTCTACCCGAGAAACTCTTGCAGGGAGCCACACTGGGCGAACATCTTCCTTCTCCAGCTCCAGAGGCCTCTCCCCGGGCTGCCCCCCCCCCCCCCCCCCCCCCCCCCGCCCCCCCCCCCCCCCCCCCCCCCCCCCCCCCCCGTCTGTTTGTGCTGAGATCAAATAAACAACTTCCATCCAGGAAGGGTTAGGAGCAAATTGGGAATTCTCTTTCAGAAGCGCAACTTGATTGGGAACGATTCCAGATGACTAGCTATGGCTTCAAGGGGAATTCACAGCGTCGAAGTGGTTTCGGCAGAGGGACCCTGCTCATAAACTAGGCCATCACACAGCTCTGTGTCTAATAATTTAATTAGCCCCGTACATAGTTAGGCCTTATCAGAGTCGGCGCAGCATGGCGAGCAGATGATTTTGCAATCAGCGGGCGGAAGGCTTGGCAGTCTGTTCCTGGGAGCAGCAGTTGGCTCGGCTGGCTGAGCAGAGGCTGCGGTACAGTCAGGGCTCCCCTGGGCTGCCACCAGCAAATCTGGGTATAATCACACCGCGTACCTATTTTCCATTTGACTGCAGCTCAGAAAGCTCGTTGGTTCAGCCAACACTAGCGTGTGTAACTGTGTGCATGTGCGTGTGTGTTCATGCGTGCGCCGGCAGAGCCTGGAAGACAAGCAGGCATTGTTCCTCAGGCACCCTTCATCAGTGACCCTGAACTTGCTGACTGGGTTAGACCAGCTGGCCAGTCAGCCCCTGAAATCTGCCTGTCTCTGTTTACCCACAGGGGGTGACAACAGGAGCCCCCCTCCTGCCCTCACTTTATTTGGTCTAATTTGGGGCTTTTGTTCATCTGTGTGTGTTTTTACATTTATTTCTTCTGTGGGGCACCATGTGGAGGTCAGAGAACTCGCCCAGGTTGTTCCTCTTCTGGCTCTGTGTGGGTTCTGGGGATTGATTGGACTCTGCTGTTCAGGTTTAAAGGCAAGCGCTTTTACCTGAGGAGCCATCTTGCTGCCACCCAGGAAGCGAATTCCTTTGATTTAGCTGAGATGGAGGAGTATGAGCAAACGCAATGGAGAGAGCGGCAAATACCTGCGTCCTGTCGTCGAGGTCCACCATGGCCCACTCTCTTTCCCATTGTTCATGCGGACCTCTCTGCTCTGGGCAATTCTGTTTTTTTTTTTTTTTTTTTTTAAAAATTTTATTTATTTATTATGTATACAACATTCCTTCCATATATGTTTGTATGCCAGAAGAGGGCACCAGATCTCATTATAGATGGTTGTGAGCCACCATGTGGTTGCTGGGAATTGAACTCAGGACCTTTGGAGGAGCAGGCAATGCTCTTAACCACTGAGCCATCTCTCCAGCCCCTGGGCAATTCTGTTTAGGGTTTGTGCTGGAATAGTTTAAATATTCTTGTGATATGTCATTTCATATCTGTGTCAGGGTTTATGTCCAGTGGAGAGGTACTGACATTATAACGCGGTACGGTTGTCACCGGAACCTTACCCGCCACTCCCTCCATTCCTGTTTATTTAATATCCTGTTCAAGGTAAGTCTTCCCACATGCTCCCCTCAAAAAATGGTTTTTAGTGTCTGGATTATTTGAAGAGAACCCAATGAGTTTCACACGTCAAACTTCTTTTTCTTCTTTCTTTCTTTCTTTTTTGTTTTTGTTTTTGTTTTTGTTTTTTGGGACTGGGTTTCTCTGTGTAGCTCTAGCTGTCCTGAAACTCACTTTGTAGACCTGGCTAACCTCGAACTCACAGAGCTCTGCCTGCCTCTGCCTCCTGAGTGCTGGGATTAAGGGCATGCTCCACACACCCCCTCCCCGGTTTCACCGAACTTCTAGAATCCCATTGAGCAGCAGACAGTTTTCATCTCCAGCTGTGCATTTGATTGTTGTTCAACTGGAAGGAGGACCACCCAGGAGACTGACAAAGCATAGCACTGGGCGTCTCTGTGAAGATGTTTCTAGAAAGGATTAACTAAGGGGGAACCCCTTCCCCTGCCCCGAGTATATGCAGTACCATCCCATAGATCACATCGGCTGGGGCTGAGGGAACAAAGTGTGTTTCTCTCTCTCTTTCCCTCTCCCTCTTCCTGTTTACTGTGAGCGAGCTGCCCACCTTGAAACCTCCATTCTAAGTTGTTCAGCCAGATGCTATTGTCCCGGTCAAACAGAAGCAGCTACCACATCAGCCCACTCCCCTCAACAGGGCCACGCGTTTCCTGTATTTGCTGGAAAGCCACGTCATCGATCCTGTGTGTCCCTCTCACTGTGAGTGTGACCGCTTGTGTCTCCCCTGTACTGTCGCAGAAAGAAGAAGAGACCTGGTTGGAGTCAGGCTGTTTGTTTTGTGGGTATACCTCACCGGCAGCTCTGGGATCCTCCTGCTGTGTGGCCTCTGAGTGCCCACAGTGTCGGTGGATCCACTTAGCGCAATTCCCACCCATCAAGAAGAGGCCAGCCGGATCTGCCCATGCGAAAGCTGCCATCACAGTGCCGGTCCATTTTCAGATCAGGGTTGCCCAGACAACCAGATTTATTAGACACTTTAAAGAAGGATAAACTTAAGCATCTGTTAGTTGCGATGTCCCATTTATAGCACCAGATTTCACTTTCTAATTTTTCCACGGCATCTGACTGTGCTTTGCTCCTGTCTAGAAACGATTGGTCCCCTCAGGACAGAGTGGTGGCTGTGCCTTCTCCGGGACTGGTGAGCTGGTGTGCTGTATTTATTTGATTCTTTGATTTGTGACAGGGTGTCAGTGCTGGCATTATCTCCCAGTCTTCCTGCCTCTGACCCCCCAAATCCTACTACAATTTACAGATGTGCACAGCACACCTGGCTCCATTTGGAGTCCTGAGATATGCTACTCCTCTTGCCCAATGTGCAATATGTCAACCCCTGAAATGACAAGTTTCGCAAAAGAGAGTTTACTCCTGAGGCTGCTGGAGAGCCCGCCTGCCTCCCCAAGGATAGAGCTGTGGCTCTTTCTGGACGGAGACAAGGGGAAGGCAGAGGTTGCAAAAACTGTGAGAAATGGGTCCTCTAAGTGGATTGCTCAGGTTTTCCTCGGCTTCAGCCCACCACAGCTCTAGACTCTTTCCCTGAGAAAGCAAGTATTTGCCATGTGGTCTAGTCTGTTTGGTATTGTTCTGTCTTCAAGGCAGGATCTCACAGTGTAACTTGGTGTTGGCCTTGAACTCATCCTCTGCCTCAGCACTCCAAGTGCTGGAGTTAACCTGTATGAGTGCTTGTCTACTTGTGTGTATGTGCATGCGCGGTGCCCACTGAGGCCAGAAGAAGGCATCAGATCTTCTCGACCTGGAGTTACAGGTGATTGTGAGCTGCCACATGGGTGCCGGGAACTGAACCTGGTCCTATGCAAGAGCAGCAACTGCTCTTAACCCTTGAGCCGTCTCTCCAGCCCCTCCTTTCATGATTTTAGATTGATGGACAAGTTGTATTTACAGTAGGTCTAGACACTGGGGTCTCCCATGCTCTTGCCCATGGGTCAAGGTAACCTTAGTTGAGCAGGTGCCTGCGTCTGTCATGCGCATATGTCTGTCATTCTGGGGATGAGCGCTCAGAGTTCCCACAAACTACTTGTAATGTGCTTCTTCTTCTCAGCCTGTTTTCAAATGAAAAAAAAATCTTTCGAGAGACTAAGACACAAAAGTCCGTGCTCTCGCTGGGCGGTGGTGGCGCATGCCTTTAATCCCAGCACTCGGGAGGCAGAGGCAAGCGGATCTCTGTGAGTTCGAGGCCAGCCTGGTCTAGTTCCAGCTAGTTCCAGAACAGGAACCAAAAGCTACGGAGAAACCCTGTCTCGAAAATTCTCTCTGCCACCATGTCACAGTGTCCCCCAGGCAATGCTGGGGTCTCTGCTGGACTGTTTCCCAGAACTGTCCCACTTGGTTAAAGACTCCTAATCTGGAGGTCAGCGGGGCCATGGCATCAGTGTGGAGTCAGGCAGCGCGCCCTGCCCTTGAGCTCCCAATCATTAAAATGTGTTGAATGAACCAACCTAGTGACTTGGTTGTCCCAATCCTTTAATTTGTTATTTTTTTTAAAAGGGCCTGAGAAGAGAACCTTGGCAGGGTTGTTCACAGTAGCTGGCCCAATGTAGTTATTTCATAAGGGGATTATTATTATAATCAAAGGGTGCCACTCAGTCCTCGAAGCAGATAAGAAAGAAAAGCTGGTCGTGCAGAGAAGGCCAACATGGCTGGAAGAGAGAAGCATGCTAGCAGTGCGGGGACCAAGGCTCGTCTTCCCGAAAGCTGCGCCTTCCCTGTAGCTGGAAGCTAATGTTCCAGGACTGTCTGGCTCTAATTATTTCGATTTATCTGTTTGGAATTAACTTTTTCTCTGTGGGATGCCCAGTGTTTTGGCTTCCATCCACCAAATATGAGCACAAAATCATTAGAGAATATCATGAGAGATAATCGGAGCCTGCTCCAGGCAGGCAGGCCCTCCGGGAAGGGCTAGAGTGCTGTATTCTTTGTGTTTTAATAAATAAAGCGTGCCTGAAGA